CCTTAGCAGGAAAAGGGCAAAATTAGGGTTGCACATGTAGGGTTGCTTCTGGCATCTCCTGTCTTCTAAATGCTAGAAAATATTCACCTAGACATTTCTTTGTGTGCAACAGAAATGTGAAATACATGATCAGAGATGTCAAAATTTCTGTGAGCTTGTTAAGCAAATAACATGTTTAACAGCATAGTACACATACAAAATCTGTGACTTGCCCTACAAGCATCTGTTTTGGTCAGCTTGGAACATGAAATTCATAGGGGGGAACCCAGCTGGAGCCTTTTCAGTTCTTTGAATAATAAAAATTAAACTGGTTCCATCTCAGTTAAACGTGTACGACTGCTCATTGGATCCATTCCAGTGTTCCTCGGAGTCACTAATGCATAACACTCACTAACTAATAACATCTGGATAGAGGATAAAAGAAGAATGTCTTGCAAGAGTCTGGGGATGTGTGCAGGAGAAGTGAGACTGCAGAGAGATTAGCTGACTCAGAAAATACGGTGCATGTGATTTTCATTAATGGTTTTAGGAAACCACTAGTTTCTATAGGTCAGGATATTTCTATAAACAAAGTAGAGAGAAGGAAAAGATGCTTTCAGTTTTGCAGCTGTAGGGCTGCTATCACACTTGGGCAAGTCTGAAGAAACCAAGTAGTGTGTTTCCTTGCAGAACAATATTCCACGTACAGGGGCCTCACTCTATGCTTCTTCCATGGGCAGATTTTCAGGGGGCTAGAGCAATTTTGCTAGAGCAAAGTACAGTTTATATTGCCTAAGAATGGAAAAGTATTAAGTCTTTAAATGATAAGACTTAGATGCTCTGGTGTTTCTTTAGCTGCCTAAGCATGCTGTTTTATCATCACCAGCGTTCAAAACCACTATTAAGTCATTAATTATCTTCAAACTCATGTTCCTGTGGGACAGCACAAGCTGCAAGCCCCAAGAAACGGTTTAGCAGACGAGTCGTTTCCATGCCTGCTCTCGCAGAAGGATTTTGATTCTGCAACAGATGGGGAAGCATGTGGTTGGGAAATTCACACGAGACTTGAACGTAAAGCATGGCACTTATTTGAGGGTAGTAGAGGCATGTTTGCAAGTGCTGGCTGTGTGTCATAACCCTTGACTACAGAGTCTGTGTTTCTTGCTACCTAAGGAATTGCATCTACTCTAGCAGGAGCAAATCTGAGGCCAGTTACCCAGATGGACTAATCCAGCTGTCTCTGCGCACCTGGGAGCTGCACCCAATGGTGCCTGTACCCTGCCACGCAGGAGCAGGGTGGGGAAATGGGTGAAACCACAGCCTTTCCTCACAAGCAACACAACAAGTTGTCCCCACTGAATTTATTTCAGTCCTGGAGTGGTGCAGAGATTGCAAAGCAACATTGAGCACATGAGTCTATGTCCTTTCATGGAAGCTTTAGGGACAGTACAGATTACCACTTGCTGTAGGCTAGATAATGAAACAGTAATTCCGTACATATCTTATAGCAGGCTCATAAAAAACTAGTAAGCAGTACTAAAGACCCATAGGAGAAGCACAGTGGTGCTCCAGGTAGACCTAAAACCTGCTTTACTGTAAATATCCCTGCAATAAAAAGTTTACCTCTGCATACAATGCCCTTTAACAATATTTGTTTAAAAAGCAGCATTAAGCAATTTAAAATATTAATAAGTTCAAAATGAAATCTTCATTACTTATTACCCAGGGGAGTACTGTAAAACAATAGGATGCAAACAACCTTGAAACCATGCAGACCTTAGATTGTTTATAGATAGTTATAGTTTTCGTTTGTTCCTGGGCCTTTGTTCTTTCAGTACCAACCCAATACAGCAGTTGAACACTAACTTTCAGCCTCCTCAGCAGTGCAGAACAGTAATGACCTTGTCATAGGCCAACTGTACTGAATTTTATAAGAAGTTTCCCTTATAAAATATTTCTAGTTCCACAGTAATTAGTGCAATAATAATTGGCAGGTATTTGGGCTGTTTCTTTCTAAATTACTCCAGAAACTACTTAAATGTACTGACATGCAGCATCTCTGAATATGGGCCAGTCAATAACTGAAAAATACTCTAGAGCACAACCAAAACCAGATTGCTTCCTGATTTCAATTAATTTCTGGGTCAAATTGGAAGGGGAAAGTTTGCTGTGTCAGTCTGAATCGAACTCACTCCTAAAATACAAGCAGTTGGTTTTGACACCTTTCGTATCTTGTATCTGCCTCCCCCTTTCTGAAATACGCCATACTGAGGAAGGCAAGACTAAGACAATAAACTCACCTGAGTACTTTGCTGTTGGATCAAGGAACATCTGCACTTGGGCTTTCTGTGAGTGTGTCATCTTTCACTTAAACTGTCCAGTGTGCTCTTTCCTGGATCACCTGGAACTGTCTGAGTTTGTACGCTGTGATCCAGACATCAAAGTCATAACTGATTTCCATGTTTTCTGATTAATGAATAGGTCAAACAACTTGGTATTGCAGACTGAGCTGTTCTAAGCAAAAGTTCTCATGATTCCTAAAGTTATTTGCTTACATTCCTTTTAATAACACAACCAGTATATCTAAAACTTGGGAATTAGCTTTGTAGAGCAATCCAATGGGCCAAACTCAGATTTAGATAGGGTAACTGGACATTGGCAGCATATCTAGGGTATTCAGGAGTGCCTGGTAAGTGTGTGGGGAAGAGCATGAAACAATGTCTTGGTTTTCTTTGATTGAATCAGGATTTTTGCGATTAAGTCTTAGATTTATATTTTTCCCGCTGATTTTTCAAGGTATAAATAGGACATAGTTGAGAGAATCTCCAGGAGGGAATGTTGTTCAGTGTGATAGGTATGATCACAGCCTGCATCTTGTAAAGATCATGGTAGATGAGAATTTAAGGCTAAATAGAATCTTCAGAATGCATTAGTATGGAAAAGAGTGAATTTGCTGATACTTGTAACACTTTACTCAGGTATTCATGGGGAAAAACGTAAAAGGGTCTGTTTGAAAATTTATGGAATAGTTGATGAAGATTGGTATTCTGGTTTTACCAACAGTAGAAATCATCTTTCCTGCAGATTAGGAAGGTATGAAGAACTTGGACAATAAGCACAGATAGCTTATATTTGCTGCATGTGGTTTTTTTTGCCGCCTCTTAATTTCAAAATGTCAGTACTCCACTTTTGGGGTGAAATAACAATTCTTTTGAGAGAATAATCACTATTTCATGGAAAGCTTTCTTTGGGATGGGAAAAAGGCATCTGTTGAAAAAAGAGCTCAAAATCAAAACAAATCCCCTGCTGTATATTCTGAAAGAGAGTGATGGAAGAACCAAACAGAGTTGACATTTGCATTTCAGCTCAGTCCTGGGAACCATAAGAATCTTCTACTGGTCAATTACAGCTGCTGGTGGCTGCCAGACTTTGCTGTTGCATTGAAGAAACTGTCTAATACAGTCATTGTGAGGAAGTAATAGGCATGAAAATGACATTGCCAAGTCCTCACAGCATTCAGCGTGGGATAAAACCAAGAAGATTTAGGAAAGGGTTGGAGAGAAGCTGCTTTAATTAATTCTCTTCCCAGCCGCAAGATAAAGCAGATAAAAAACCACCGGGCAGAAGAAATGTCAGCTTGTTATTATTGTCTATGAAACTGATATGTTGTCTTTTTAACTGCATATAATTTGAGGTGTTTCTATGTGTCACTTTTTTCTGTGGGTTTTTTTTTTTTTGTTTTGGTTTGGTTTTGTTTTTTTTTTTTTTACTACATTAAAAGAATTTAATAACAAGGGCATTTGAAAATTTGTTAATGTCCTCCCCATTCAAAGAGATGTCTGCATCTTTTGTATTTCATCCCTTACCTTCTTCCGGAGAAGAAGAGAAAGTTATTTGTGACAACCAAGAGTGTCATCACCTCAAAATATTAAACTTGGTGAAACAATCTTAAACAGAATGTTACTGGATGTATTTGAAAACACTAGCTTTTATTTTCTGAAAAGTTCCTGTTTAATTAGAAAGTTTTCCCAGAATAAAACTGAAAAGTACCTAATATTAGAATTGCAACAATTTTGTTCTTTGTTGCCTGGTCCAGATTCTTTCATCATTTAATCTGGTATTCATATTTGTTTTTACCATGACATACAGGGTTGCCTGTATCAACTCAGCAACTAAGAAAAAGGAGAGCACTGTTTGCCTTGTACTTATATAACATGCACTGTGAGCTCATTATCAACTAAAAACAAAGATATGAACTGTAAGAGGGAGATTATTTTCTCCTCAAGCCAAATGTATGATTCTCCTTCTCACAGTTAATTTTAAATGTTTTCTTTGGACAGCAGCCTCAGGATAAGTGATGAAGGACAACTTTCTAGTAGCATTAGATAGCTCAAGGTGATCTGTGGTTTACAGAGCCTGGAAGGCCCAACAAACCTGACATGACAAAGCATATTCTGAAATCATTTCCTCGGATTCACTGTCATTACATACGTGGTCACAGTGATCTATGGAACACCTGTATAATTACTCTTTTGAGACTTGTTCATGTGATGAAACCTTACAGGGAACAATTCGTTAAAATCTAACATTAAAAAACCATTACGAGAACCAAAATTTCCTTTCTCTGGGAACCCACACAAGGAACAACACCACCTGAGCCGAAAAACTCTGTAAGTGAGGATTGCCCAACGGTTGATACAGCTGGCTAACATTTACCTGTGCTGCCCTAAAGATGGTTGCAGGGAGGAACCCAAACCAAAGCAGTCGTTACAGCATGTGGCTGTAGGTGCCAGTTTGAGACACAGTGGAGCACCGAACAAGATCGCCCTGTGTCCTGCAACCCAAAAGGGTGAATCCACCCAAACCATCGCAGTCCTTGTCCTTCACCACTCCAGCCATAATTCAGTTCTCTAAGCCCAGTCACAGTTACCACTGATCTTTGCTCATTGCTTTTGTTAGGAAGCACATTTTCAACTTTTAGTGTACATTTTCTAATAGTACTTTCTTTTTGGCTTCCTCAGCTACCAACAGGAGGTCCACAGAAATTTCCTGCCCTCCAAGGACCATTTCTGAAGTAGAGTTATCAAAAAAGAAAAGCATTAAGAAGACTAAAGGCGGAATTAAGGTAGGACTATCTGTGTTTTCAGGACATCCCGTATTGTGAAAGAACTCAAAGCAATATAAATATAAGTTTACATATTTATACTTGGAATTAAAAAATTGAACATTTACAAGTTAATTCTCTGCTAAGCTTTTTTTTTTTTTTTTACACTTGACATTGGAGTTTGAAAGTTACTCAGATGACAGTGTTAAAAAGGATTTATGCTCATGTACATGGAAAATCAAGTTACACTAAAGTAATGGTATAGGTTGGAAGGGACCTTAAAGATCATTCAGTTCCAACCCCTCCTGCCATCAGCAGGGACACCTTCCACTAGACCAGGTTGCTCAAAGCTTCATCCAACCTGGCCTTGAACACTTCCAGGGAGGGGACATCCACAACTTCTCTGGGCAACATGTTACAGTGTCTCACCACCCTCATAGTAAAGAATTTCTTCCTCATATCTAATCTAAACCTGCCCTCTTCCAGTTTAAAACGTTACTTCTCATCCTAGCACTACATGCCATTGTAAAAAGTCCCCCCCCCAGCTTTCTTGTAGGTCCCTTCAGGTACTGGAAGGCCGCTATAAGATCTCCCCAGAGCATTCTCTTTTCCAGGCTGAACAGCCCCAACTCTCTCAGCCTGGCCTCATAAGAGAGGTGCTCCAGCCCTCGGATCATCCTCGTGGCCTCCTCTGGACTCTCTCCATCAGGTCCATGTCCTTCTTACATTGGGGGCCCCAGAGCTGGATCCCTACTGCGGGTGGGGTCTCATGAGAGCAGAGGGGGAGAATCACCTCCCTCAACCTGCTGGACACACTTCTTCTGATGCAGCTCAGGATACGATTTGCCCTCTGGGCTGCAAGTGCGCATTGCCAGGTCATATTGAGCTTCTCATCAACCAACACCCCCGAGTCCTTGTCCTCAGGGCTGCTCTCAATCAGTTCTCTGCCCAGCCTGTATTTGTGCTTAGGATTGCTCTGACCCACATGCAGGACCTTCACCGTGACCTTGTTGAACCTCATGAGACTTGCACAGGCCCACCTCTCAAGCCTGTCAGGGTGCCTCTAGATGGCATCCAGACAGTAATACATTAAAGTGCATCCCAAGTGCCTGTCCTTCCTTAGCATACGAACTATTTTGTTTCTAAAACTGGAATCTTAGTCCAGCTTCTCTGAAGATGTGTTATGTTCAGGGTTTTACAAAGTTATCCTAATTTAAATATTTTCTAAGGGTAGTTTCTACACAAAGGAGGAAAGACTGGACATTTAATACTTAGAAAGAAACCAACTAACAAAAAAAAAAAAAAAGAAAAATAAAAATTCCAGTGTTACCTGTTGCTGCATGGACAAGTAAGGTTCAGAGAAATGTATTTTGCTTTTGTGTCTCTGTGATGAGAATTGTTGTATTATTGTTTCTGCAGCAAGATTCTGTTTAGGATTCTTTGAACATCTTTATCCTTTCCCTCCTACTCCCAAGCCTTACAGCATTCAAGAGCCCTGCCCTTACAGCAGAGTCTTTTGTTTGAGCTGTAGAGACTGACTGGGATAACTGAGCTATCAAGACAGCCATTTGGCCCTCCTTGAGTATTTAAGACTGGAAACAGAAGGATCCATAAACTTCATTCATCTGCAATTCCTGTAACTAAGACAAAGTACAGCTGCATCCTGAAACTTTTCATTTGCCCAAGCCAGCTCAAATAGCCACTTTCAGAGACCAGACTTCTTTTTTCCCCTGTCAAAATCAAGTAATGCTACATTTATCTTATTTAAAATGTTTGGGTTTAGACCATGTAAATATCCCTGTGAAAGAGAGGAGTAGTACCCCTGATCTGTGCACAAATGTTTTGTAACTTTGCCAGTGTCCCCCTTTAGTAACAAGTTACCAAACATGAGACAAAAATCAAAACATATGCAGTGCCATTTACTCACAACCTGTCAAACAATAACATCCCCCTGCCGTAATTTTCTTGCATCTTCCCTGCATTAAGGTTCATATTATGAGCTCTTTAGGGCAGCATATCATTAAAATGGTAAAAAAAGCAATTTAAGGTATGTTTTGAGAAAGAAAAAAATAAGAGAGCCTTGACTGTGTTGAGGGAAATAATACAACTAATATTCAGAAAATAGCAAAAGAAGTTGGGTAGTGTGAGAGAGAGGTATGACCTTGATTTGGGTGCCCCATGAAAGTGTGATGAAAACAGCAAGTACCCTATTTCACACTGTTCAGCAGTTTGGGGGCAGAAGAGGAGGAAGGTAATAAGCTTTGTCAGTACATCTCTGCGGGAAAGAAATACCCCAACCTAAACCAGGTTATATACCAGGGAAAGGAATGACACACTAGCCCCTGTGGTTGCAGTTGCTAAGTTTTTCAGAGGTGATTAGTTATTTTAAAGGTGATTTTTAAAGGTGAGCTCTCTATAAGAAAGGAGCGAGCAACAGAGATCCCACGTTACAATAAAAGTTCTCTGGGTGTTTTCCAGTTTAGTCCAGTATTTTGAAGGTAATTCTCAAAAGAAGCATTTTGGACTTTCTGATTTTTAAGGAGTAACAGAATGAAACTCTTACATTAGCACTTCTTACACCAGTAACAGACACACATGGATGTGCTACTTTGGCCTAAATATTAAAAAAATGGTTAAATCCTGTTTGTGCAGAAATTCCAGACAAATCAGAAGTAGTTGGTTTGGGGGTTTGTTTGTTTGTTTTCTTCTGGGGAAATGGGAATATTTAGGGGGGAGAAGGGGAGGAACAGTGTTACCCTGAGTCATAAAAAGCTAAAAATGTATGAAGTGTCTACCTGGCCCATCTCTATTATTTAACTTGATATAATGCAGGCTATTTCAACCCAGCTTTTCTGCTAACCATACACCTCACTTGCTCATACATTTGAGCTGAAAAGCCAAAATTAAAGTCACTCTATTTTCTGATATGGCCAAAATTTCAGCAAGCATAGAATAAAATCCAGTTATCAGTAGGAACATACAGCTGGCCTCACCTTTGTCTAAACTCACAGAAAGTGACTTTGGAATTAGTCTTATTCTCAAGAGTAATGCAGGTAATCAGGTGCTTTCCTCTCACATAGTTAAGTATATGCAACAACATGCTACAAGTTTTATAAAAACATCCATTCGTTCATTTTTAAATCTACTTTCCAAGATTACAGTACAAATTATGCCCCCTTTCCTTCCCTTCTATTGTTGCTATAAAATTTGTTTGTATTTTATTGGTTCTGATAGTTCAGATGAGTATAGTTTATTAGTGGATTCCATCATCACCAACCAGCCAAATAATTTAGCTATATAGAACATTAGACAGGCCACTGCTTTTTCCCCCGGAATCAGCCCTTAAAAAGGAAAGTACTTAGGAAGACTCAACTGGAGTTTAGATATTGGCCTGGATTAAGTGCAAACTCAGCAGCTGAGTTGTTCTACTGAATTTGGAAAGGTTGCCTTTGAGTAAGCCACAGTAGTGCTTGGTACTTTCAAAGCTGCAGGCAAAAGGAGGAAAAGCTTGTGTAAAACTTGCCTGGAGCACACTTGAAATGATCCAACTGTGCAAGACTGGACAAGAAGTAGGTTAATGTTTATCAAAATATTTTGTAAAAAGCCAAGGGCATTTCAGCCAGGGGACAGCCCTTGCACAGGTACACTGTGCTCAGTATTAGAGGGTATGCACTGTCTCACATAATACTGCTACTGTACAGAGACACTTCTCAGAGGCACACGACAAATTCCCTGGAATTCTCCATATAGCACTGTACAAAGAACTCTGAAAACGTGAAATCTTTGGGTTGGCTTCAGGCAGGAAACAAATAAAAGTACTATATTTCAGAGTCTAAGGAACAGACTGTTATGCCTGTAATTATCTACATAAGGAGGTAATTCACCTTCTATGGTAGAAGAACATAAGGATTTTTGCCTGGAGTTAAGATTGTCTCCCATGCCAATATTCAGCAAGGAAGCAAAAAAATAGAGAGAGGAGGTATTCTTGATTTATAATCTGCACATCTAGAATCAAATTATTTTAACTTGTCCAGTAATTTACTAGACTAGGTAGAATCTGGTTTTTATTCTTTGAAAGAGATAAAGTTCTCTAAATAAAAGCATCAGCAACTTACGTATTTTCACTTTTAATGTGTCCTTTTTATTCAGATTGAAGTGATGCATGAAGCTAGTCAAGGGGGATCCAGCAGAGTCCTGGTGATGAGTGAAAGTGACGAGAACTTGTCAACAAGGAAGAGGTAAGGCTGCAAACATGAGCCAGTATAATGCTTCCGGTGTTCTTAGAATGCAAATAACTGCATTTATAGTACCTTCTCTATGACTTGTTTGAAGTTCACTAAGATCAATAAATAATTAGAATATAATCAAGTCACTGCAATGCTTATAGTCATGCATTTATACACACTATCAACTGGAAAAGCAAACAAGATTTATCTTTTGTTTTGGGGGCTTGGTTGTGTGGTTTGTTCCCCCCCCTCCACTTTTTTTTTTTTTCCCCTCTTTCTTACAAGCATTAATTACATGACATGAGAAAATAAGTCATTAAAATGCATGTATTTACAAAAAAGTAGTATTAAAAATCATTGTGTTCAGGACACTCATATTTAACTATATGCCCCTGAGAAGCTTCTGGTTTTTCAAAATGCAAACAATCTTTTCTCCCTCTCTACAAAGTCCTGATAAAGAGATTATTAATTATGTATTCTAGAACACCAAACTGAAGTCAATAGTTTAAGGAAAAGTACCAAGCAAACCTAGGTTAATTTAGTTGAACTGCACTGGTTCTAGGCCAAAGGGAGCAATTTAAAAAAAAACCAAAAACCCAAAAACCAAAAAACCCACCAACCACAAAACCCAACCCTGCAACAAGACAAACCCTACAATCCTCCCTGATTTAATTTCCTTTGTTATCTATCTTCTTCGGTATGATTTAGATAATTTATTCTTATGTTATGCCAGTATCTCACACAGGTACACACTGAAGTTACTTGATGCAGAAGACTACATTTCTAAAAACACTGGCTTCATACCTTATGCTACACAAATTGGAGACAGATACAAAAATGCAGTTTATTACTACCTGAATTTAATTATACCCTATGAAAATGCTACGACTGGTCTCCAAAACATCAGCTAGTTTTCAAAAGGTGCAAAGTGTGATCTGAAATAGAACTAACTTAGGTACATCTCTTGAGGAATGATTGCCTAAAGAGAACATACAAATTTGGAGTTAATATTAACAACAGGTTAAGCTTCTAACACCTTGCAGTTTTATAAAACTTTAGACCTTGATGCTTGGTAAACAGATTTCTGAGCTGTCTTCTTTCTTGGGAAGACCAATTTTGCCTCTTGTTCCACCAAAGGTTTGGTTCAAGGTAGAACAGAAAGGAAGCAGGGGAAGAGAGGGAAGCAGTATGAAGTCATCTTGTAAGAGAGTACTCAATAGCATTTAAAAGCATCAACCTGAGCCTGTCGGTTACAAAGAAAGCAACAAGAGAGTTTTACCACCTTTGTTGTGTTGTTTTGGTTTTTTTTTTTAAAAGAAATAGTTCTGTTTATTCAAAACAAGTTTTACAAAACAATTGTCTTTTTGTGGTACAGAGCAAAGTTTAAGAATAAATATTGAATACTTAGTATAAAAATTAGTAATATCAAAGGGAAACTGATGCAAACCAAACAAACAGGTAAAAACAATTTTAGCATTAAATATGCTGTGCAACAATGTCAAACTCTTAATAAGGAGTGACCATTTGGGCTGATACCGTTTTATTTGTAGAAGTAAAACCTGACAGCCCTGCATTGGAGCACCGAGACTATTGTTAAAAAAGGTTCCAGATAAAGGTGTACAAGTCTTAAGTCAGTGTCTAGAACCAGAAAAGAAGTTTTCTAGCTTCTCCATTTTTTGAAAGGAGTGCCTTCATGCTTTCCTTTTTATTCAACCAGCAACTACTTTTCACTGCAGCAGAAGAAAATGCATACTACAAACATCAAGGCGCTTTTAAGATTAAGAAACAATCCAACAAAACTCAAACCAGCTGTAAAACAAAGTATTCCAATGGTCAAAAGTGACTTTCAGATAATGGCAAACTACATTTAAGCAGTGTTTTAAATGTCAGCTAGGTCATTACCTTCTAGAAATTTAAGCTACTTAAAACTTATTTTACCTTTGCTTGTATGAGTGAAAACAACAAATGCCAACACATAGTTCTGCTGGAAAAATTGTAGTCTTAATAGCACATTTTGGTTGCATGCTGCATACGAAGACCCTCTTAACCCTACAGTGAACAGGGTGGCTTTTTCTAGTAGTGCAGTTTTGCTGACAGCCTGTTGATTTAAATGGCTTGCAACAGGTCAGAGATCTGATGAAGCAGCTTGCCTTCAGTACAGAATGCCACCTTCTCTGTATGTGCATTTATTTCTCCATAAGCTAACGGGTTATTATACAGATCTAGGCTTGTCTTGTGTTTTGGGTTTGTTTTTTTTTTTTTCTTTTAAAAAACACATATCCTCAGTACTATAATCAATCTGTTTAAGCAAAAACAGGAACTGGATTTGTTCTTTCTAAAGTTTAGCTGTTGCATTCTTCAGTCATTCTGACACTGATAAATGACTTAATTGTGGGTTCTTTATATACCTAACATTTGGGTCCAGTTAGGATTCTTATTCTTTTCTTTCTGGAAAACCAAATGGAGAAAGCTACATCTTTTACTTAATTCCAGTAGCTACCTGCCATCCATCTGAAATGGCAGCTTAGAGAACAGTCAGCAAGCTCACTCCTGGATTCCATCTATGCTAACATACACCATTAGCCATTCAAACCATTAAAACCTGCAGCACAGCTCCAAGAGCAGAAGCAACTACTGGAACAAAAGTTTACTACTTGTAGCTTAAAACTGACAGGTCCCCTATAGCTGTTCTACAGTAAAGTCAGATGACACAGATCAAGTGCCTCACTGTTCTACACAGTGAGAAACTTCAGGCAGAAGAAAAAGGCTAGTCTTAGGAAGCAAGCAGGACTGCTCCTGTAATTAGCACATTTCCAACAGATACTCAGTAATTTGTAAGCTTTTGCATTGTTACTACTCTGCTGATAAACTTGACTCATTCAAGCTTTCTGAAGTAGTTTTCTAACACTATCCACACCAGAACTTGTTCCAGCATCAAATCAGTTCACAAGCAATATCTGTACTTTGTGCGGGCTGCGTGCCCACTCCAGGAAGAGCTACCACAGGTTTGGCAATTAGCAACTAAAATATCTGTCCTGAGAGTCTGTGAAAACACCATTAGTGAGCTACACAAGAAAAGGCTGCAGACATCCTACAACTTTGGCTCTCTGTGATATTTATATGGCACCACAGTACAACTCCTATAACGGCTGGAGTTTGAGCATCACTTAGTTCTATCCTGATTTACAACGCACAGGTGTTTTGTTCCTCCTTCATGTGATATTAACATTGAAATATATTCAAGATACAGGGGTTTGTGGACACAAACTACTCTGAAATTTTAAAGACAATCTTATACTTAAGACTTCAGGAGAAATATTTTAGTGAATTCAGTTCCTGTACCGAGTTTCTGTGGATCACCATCTCCCTCCCCCTTCATTGTGAAGTCAGACTTTGTGCAAAAAATATGCTCCCTGTTTGTTGGTACAAACATTACATTTTGCTTTTTAAAGTCCTTAACAGCTTCAAATTAGCTCTAAATAACATTCTCAGGTACTTTTGCTTGTTTTTTATTTTTAGAACCATGAATACTGGAAAGCAGAAACATCGTTAAAAGAAAACTCATTTAGCTTACTTGCTTATTAAAGATTGAACTGTTCAAATATACTGCTTCAGTTTTCAGAAGGCAGAGAAAGATTAGCAAAACCAATTACATGAGTAATATTTAATTTTTATCCTTTCAAGTTCAGTCCTGATCTAAAGGGAGAACCTTTGTTACTTAAAACAACCAAGTCAGAGGGCACTCAAACACTGTTTCCCTATTTCAAAGATTTAGGAAGCTTTGAGAACAAGATTGTAGCAGGCCTCCACTTCGAGCACTCACTGTCAACTGTGCAGGTCCAGACTTAATTTCTATGAAGCACTGAGAAACGGTGAATATTTGTAACCAATTTACATTGCCTTAAACTACTGCAATAGTCTCATTCATCAAGTCAGTTGTTCCATTTTCCTCATGTTTTAAAAGGTCTACTCCATTTTGATATAGCAGATTTTCTTTTTTTATAATCATGTGCCTTAGTTCACATATCTTTTTTAGAAAAACTTAAAACTTACTGACAAGTCAAAGTTAACAGACGTTTTCACCAAGCATTTCAAAGTCTAGAAGTTAAGTCCGTTCTAGTTCATGTAATCCAGACTTGCATCCCTTGAAGAATGTAAAAAACAGGCTACAATATGAGAAGTTGCAGTACAATAGAAGAGCTATTCCAATAGGAGTTTTTGAACAGGATGTGGGACTATCTTTCCCCTCCCCACCCCCAACTATTCACATTTAAGTTTTACCTCTTTCCATGTATACATATATTTTGAATAAACAGCTAAAGAGTTGTTGCTCTGTTTTGGCTCAGTGGATCTTCAAAGCAGATATTCAAGTATTAAGAAAATGCAGCTGAACAAGGATATGTGTCCTCATAGTATAGTTTACAGAGAAGCACAATATTGACTAGTCTGCAGTATATTCTACCCCAAATTCCTGAAGAAAGTTTTTTAACTTTGGGATCTGTAGCCTGCTTCCAGAGCTGGTGCAGATCATCTACATGTCCATGAGATGTCATCATTTTGTTATAAATGCAGGGATGATAGGGAGCCTTTCCTTCCCCAGAAAAAAATACATGATATTGTGGTACAATTCCCATTTTATTGGCACAGAGACCCATGAAAACATCATCTATATAAAGACTGGTATTGAGAGTCAATGAAGCCTCATATACTTTAGCTGCTACATCACTTGATACTACATATGCAGCTCCTGCTGTGTAGTCAGGATAAGAGGGCCACTGGTACATTTCATATGGAACATAGTATTTGCTACTCTTGTCTCTTATGGGAGGGGATCCACGATGGACACGACCAATCCAGAGATCTTGAACACCCATTTGTGCTAAACTTTGGAGATAAGCAACAAGATTTGGCATATGGATAAATATATCATCATCTGCAGACATAATGAACCTGGCATGAGGACAGTAGGCGTTTACCCAGCTAAACTGCAAAAGCAACTTAAGAGTAAGATTGTGAAAAGTATCCAGGAAGTCTTGCTGAATCAAATCATTGTATTTCTGGTCTTCCAGATGAAGTTCTCTTTGCAGCTGTGTATGCTGCAGATGATCTGTTGGTCGTCCTAAAGCAAAAAGAGTTTTAATATTGGCATTAAGTTGAGACTGAACATACTTCTCATTACCCCAAGTTTGTCTAATTGCATCCCTCCGATGACGGTTTTCAGGAGAAGTCTTCACAAACAACAGGAGGAGGACATCCTGCTGCTGACATTTCTCTCTGTGGTTGATCAAGTACTGGTAGCTTGATACTCTGTCCAAGTTATCCCTGTTGATAGACAGGCTGTCATTCACAAAATGGTAGCTGTTTATGAGGTATCTGTATGAATAGGACTTCATATGGCTCACAATGTGATTATCAAATGGTCCCCAAAAAATCATGAGACACAGTATAAAGCAAGTGGCAAATATCTGCAAAAAATGGCATTTTCTGACTCTTCTGGGACTAACAAACATTCTGATGCAGTTTCTATAATCCTTAGTCTTGTTCAGGATCAGTGTTTTTACAGTGCCTGTGTTTTAGTTTAAGAGCACAGTGTCACCCCCTTCAAGATAAGTGTTCGTTGTAAGGCATGTTGTCTTTCATTCAGTATCCTTGTAAAGCCAGCTTTGTTCACAGATTTCACAAGTCATCTTTCTCAAAAAACGTTTTTCATTTGAAAGAATGCAGACAGTTTTGAAAGATGAGACTTGCAGATGAGTATTTTCCCTGTGGGGCATCTTGAAGTGAACACTACAGTTTTAAATCAGATCTTCTCACTTGCTTCTTTTCTTCATGAAGATGAAGACCTACCAATCAAGGGGAAGGGAGAGGAGAAAAGTTTTAGTGAGTTGTTATTAACACAGCTGGTCTCAGGTTTGGTCATGGAAACGAGTTGACTACTCAGACACTCCCCATCACCACCCACCTACACCCCCCAAAAAAAACCTGGCAGCAAGTGAGAGGTTGTCAGTGGTGCAGAGCAAACTCAGGGTGAGCTAGTGAAGGAGAAGGAGCAGGGGAACCTGACAGAGAGGCTTCAGTTCTCACACAAGAAGCTCTTTTCCTAGAAAAACCCACTGCCGCTAACCAACAGCTAACAACATTTTGTTTGAATTCTTTTAAGCCAGAGGGAAGCCACACCCTAGAGATGACCGAGTTTACAGATTGTCTGTCTTGGGGTGGCCTATGAAAGAGCCAGGCCTACGCAGAGCCCTGCGACTGCTCCTGGACACAGGCACG